GGGGGTCGGACTAGATGATCTGCTCAGGTCCCTTCCGACCCTAGAAACTATGAAACTATGTCTAGTAACAAATATAGGCTTGTGGTGGAACAGATGTACCCCCCTATATTCCGGTAGGGAAGGAGTTAATGTAGTGGTGTATATGTGATGGGGTCCAGCTGGTCTGAGCGCAGCAGCAGGTATTAAGAGACTTGTCTAGCAGCTGGGACGTGGTTTGTGGGGGAGGGAAGATGGTTTCCCCGAGTGAACGATGGAGAGATGTTGTGAACAGGGGAAGCTAATGGGGCTAGGAAAGATCCCTTAATTGGAGCTCAGACCCCGCAGAGGGGGAGTGTGCTAGAGAAAGCCATTTTCCTGGGGTGAACTGTCAGGCTGAAATGTTGTATTTCCAAGCAATTATTCACATTGCTTGCAAGCCAAGAATCTTTGGGTATGGGGCTGTAAGCACCTTTGCTGCATCCCACTGGGTTGGGTTGGGTGGGGCTCGAGGCCAGTGTGGTGCTGAGAGCTGGGTCTGGATAACTACAGAGCTGGGTGGACCCATACACTTAATTTCTGCCACTACACCATGGTGAGAACTGGGTGAGCTGCTGCCATTTCAATGTTGTGCTGCATCAGTCAGATCTCCGCTGGGCAACTTAACATACGTATGACAATATCTCTGGTGATGGTTGTACTGAATGGGATGCATATATTGATTAGCCAACACATGGGCAAATTTCTCATTGCAATTTAAATAGCTTAATGCTAATTCCTCTAGCACTTCTCTGCAGTAGGGAGGAAGAGCTGTCCTGCAGTTCAGGGCCAGGAATTAGGTCTTGGGGATCTTATTTCAGACGACCGGTTTCTATTTATGGTGCTAGTGCATGCTACCTGTGGGATCTGTCTGGCCTGGTTACCCCCAGCTGAAGATGAAGACGGTTACACGTGCTTGTCATGCAAGGGTGTCCGCAGTTAAAATGACTAATGGCGGTGAGTGCTTGTACACTAAGCATTTCCATGATGCTTAACACTAAGATGATACGCATCACGGAAGTGCATATAGAGGTGTGTTCCCCCTATCACAGCTTTACGTATCCTTTACCATGATGCTGATGGAGAGCTGGACAGGTTTCTGAAGCAGAGCCCTGTAGACCCCCTTTCACCAAGATCTCAGTAACCCAAAGAAAGGAGAGCTTTCCTCCTTTGATCCACTTTTGACTTGGGCCTAATCCCTGCATGCCTTGTTGGCAGGAGCGTGGAGGCACTGAGCAGACACGTATTGCTGTGGGCAAATCTAAGCTGAGCAGGCGGCAGAAGCTGGAGCTCGAGCATCTCAGTTGCTATAAGCATCTCGCACAATTGTGGAGCTTGCACAACAAAGAAGTGCAATGAAAGCGACTTGGCGTTCCAGCCTCCCATCTATTATCTCAAACGTCTCCTTTTGTCTCTCCTTTTCACGACACCTGTTGGAAATATTTGCTTTTAGTACTTCTCGCTGCTTGCCTGGGGTGCTTTCCTGCTCGCTTGTCAGAGCTCAGATTCAGCACAGTTGAGCTCAAATCCATTTCAGATCAGGAAATGATGAGACTTCTTCAATACACCATTTCAGCCTGGAGATCCTATAAGATTTTGGGATAAAAAGGAGCGCTCGCTCATGTTATGGAAAGGAAGTCCTTCCTATAGCACCAAGAGGGTGGCTGTCGTAGAGGACGGCCCGGTTATCTTCTATTGATACGAAACCGGACGCCTTTATGTCCTCTGCAAAACAGAGGGCCTAATGTCTCTCTGTCCTTTGAAAAACAGAGGGTGTAAAACTGTCCGGTTTCGTCCTCGGTTCTCTACTGAGATGCAGCTGGACACTCTTACGTCCTCTATTTTGAGTAATAGAGGACATGAAGGCACCCGGTCTTGTCTCAGTAGAGGACAGAGGACAACCTGACCGTCCTCCAGGACGGCTGCCCTACACGCCAGACGTTACAGGAACGTGGAGGTGTTTAACGCCCGGCCACGCGTCTTCCGTTAACGCAAGCCCCGACTACCCCACGGGGTGCCCTTGGCGAGCGCAGGGCGAAGAGCGACTACGCATCTCTGCTGGCGACCACAAGCAAGGGCCCTTGAGCGACGCGTTCCATTTAGGAGCGGAGGAAGCCAGGAAACACATCGGGGCGCGGGTGCAAAAACCTTGCACGTGCGCCTCCGTGCGAGGAAGCAAAACGGTCTTTGATCCGGCGGTTGGGAACGCTTGTGCTTGGCGCACGTGCGCACGCGCGCCTCCCTACCCCGCACCAAGGGCCTGGTCTCCATGGGAACGCCAAGATGGCCGCCCTCGGGCCGATCCCAGCCGGGAGGCAAGATGGCGGCGGCCAGGGCACGGGGCGGGGCTTGTCTAGGCGGCGCGGCGGGCGGCTCTATGGCTGCGCCTGCGCACACGCGGCCCCTCCTCCCGCCTGCCCGGGGCTGTGCTGGTGCAGCGGGCGCGGAGCGGGCG